TCTCTCTCTCTCTCTCTCTCTCTCTCTCTCTCTCTCTCTCTCTGTCACACACACACACGCACACGCGCGCGCGCGCGCGAGGTTCGTTCCCAGGGTAGAGAATTGCCACGCCGTGATTTTTTGCGATAAATTTATGTATACAATCGCTCTGTGACTTCAGTATCGAGCGGCAATTGGTCGTGGTTGTACCAAACGGCCAGAGTGAGTCTGCCACACAACGGAACGCAGCAACCACGCAACCTGAACACCACACAAATGGCTGTTAGGTCAAACTGCGGTTAGCCGATCCACCCCGCTGCCATGTACGTGGCCCTGCTGTTTCATTCTCGTTGTTGCTCTCCTACTGCTGTGCGAACCTCCCCTTTGGTGGGACCCAAGGCCACCGTCCCCCTCAACTCAAGACTTACTCCGACAAAGCTGTTTCTGGACTTGTAGACCACGCTAGTAGCTGTGAAGCATCTATAAACAACACTGTTTGGTTTGGCATACTGCCGTATGTTGAGCCTGCCCGCTTTTCATCGCTGGAGAGGGCATAATATCCATCATTGCATATGCATAAAGTAAGCAGCAAGAATGACGCCGTTCAAAACGTCTCGGAAACTCAGGTCGAGCAAGGCGTGGGCTTGGTTGGCTGGATCACACGATGAAAGCGCGTTCCAGCACATGCCGCTGCTTGCGATGGGCGCAACTCCTCGTGCTCAGCACGTGCGGAGACATTCGTGTCTGGCAAGCGGCGGGCTTCGGGTTAGGTGAGGCAAGGGCCCTACAACTAGTAAGTTTCTCTCTCGAAGCAGGTTTGAAAGTCATCCCACGACCTTGGGCGCCAGCAGTGGCAACCTACAAGTATTACCGGTGTTGTAGGTATGCGGCGATATCGGTCAACCCTTCTCGGTAAGGTGGTCTAGAGCGAAATACCCCGTTCAGTCTCTCGCAGTGGATGCAGGCCGCCGTCGCTTTCTTGCACGCTGTGGCGTTAGCGAGTGACGGGAACCTACGTTTACTTGAGATCGCCCCTCGATCGTTCCCCTTGTTTTTCGTATTTGAACCGTACCTTTTCCCCTATGTGTTGTAGATGTTTCCCTTGAGAACAGTCCACTGCTGCCGAACGCTGGGGCGACGTTTTACGGGGCTGGGCGGGGCCTCTCTCACCCAGCAAACATGCTAGTATGTACAAAGATTCGGCGGGGAGGGCCTCTTTCAATCCCCTTCGCTCTTCCCCAAGCGTCGGAGATGACTTACCGGTTTTCTTCCCTGTCTCCGTCGTTTTTTATTCGTCCTTCCTCCCGTTGTTTGTCCTTTTTCAAACGGTGTGCTCTGCAGGAGCCCGGCTTTCTGCGCCGGTGCAACAAAAGCAGCACACAGCAACGTGTTCGGCGACACAGGTGCTCATGTCGGAGTCAAAAGCATCTGATCGGAGCATCGGCAGAAGAGGGGAAGTTGGAGCTGAGCCTACAGGCAGAGGAGATTTCCTCCGCAATTCCGCCGCGTTTCTCGCCGGAGGCAGCGCTGCAATCGCGGGGGCAACAACAGCGGGGGCTGGCTTCCCGAGCGCCGCCGAGGCCATCGGCGACCTATACGAGTTCAAGGACCAGGCGCGCTTCGCCCAGCATGCCACCCTTCAGGTGCCGGACATGGCGGCCGCGCTCAAGTTCTACGTGGAAGGCGTCGGCATGAAGGTGATCCGCACGCGGGCGGGCCCCCTGTTCAACACGACCGTCGTCGGCTTCGGCCCGGAGGCGCTCGAGGTGCCACCGTCCTTCGTTTTCGGCGTGAGCTCCACGAACGGGTACGGTGGCCACTTTACCCTGGAGCTCAACTCGCAGAAGGAGGAGGCAGGGGCGGCGGAGGACGGGGAAGAGGACGTCGACTTCTTTTACGACCCCGGAAACGGCGTCCAGTTCCTGCAGATCGCGGTCGACTCGTACCGGATATCTCAGGTGGTCAAGGCAGGGGGAATCATCGAGTCCGGTTACGGGTACCTCCAGGTCTTGGCTCCAGGAGGGCTTCGGCTGAAGCTCTTGAGCGGCTCGAGACGAGACCCTCCCATGTTCCTCGCCGTCAAGGTGAAGGACATGAAGAGGTCGGTGCAATGGTACACCGACGTCGCTGGGATGACCAAGTTTCCGTTCCCGAGAGCTCGGGAGGCCGGCTCGCCCTTCGAGCCGGAGCAGCCCGCGGGAAGTGTCTTCATGGCCTACGAGGGGGAGGCGTTCGGAGTCGTCCTTATCCCCGCCGCGAAGGGGGACCGGATCAACCCGGGCAGCGTCGTGTCCGTCGCAATTCTGGCGGAGGACGTCGAGAAGATAGCGGAAAGCCTGGGGGGGGAGGTTAGCGTGGACAGCTTGAGAGGAGGGGGAAGGTCCGTCGCGGTCGCGGACCCGGACGGATACGGAATAAAGTTCGTGGAGTACAGCGACTGGAGGGGGCAGCTCCCCCGCTTGGTGTAGGCCGTCCTATCGGCGTGATGGCAGTTGCGGTCCACTTTAAGTTTTTAGGGCAGATAATTTGTCCGAAGATTGTGGTGTACGCTCTCGGTGGGGGGGGGAGGGGCGTCCCAACACAGCGGCAGACATGCAGAGTTGTGTAAAATAGTTGATCATCAAAACCTTTGGGAAAGTGAATCCCCCCCCGATAGACCATGCAGTATTAGTATTTGTGGTCAGTTTTTAGGCTAGCTTGGGTGTTAATTGGTTGTTAGACGTACCATTTACAGAGAAGCTTGATGCTGCACGATCAGATCTTGAGCTCTTGCAGTTCAGGTCGAGAGGAAGGGTACCAACCACCGGCCCGTTCCAGGTCATCGGGGGGCAATTCGTTGGGTACAGTTTCACGTTCTACGTGCGTTGGCGTGAGATCGAAAGGTGGTTGAGGTTACTCACGGCGTCCGCGCCGGTCCTTCCTCGCATACACAGGCAATTGAATTGGAGTGTTGACGGCACCAATAGTCTACACACTTTTCAACATGTACGCAACCATCCCCGCTGGATACGATACATTGGTTAAATGCGCTTGTTGGCATCGATGCGTCTTGTGCTGCTTGCCACTGTATGGTGTGCTGCTTGCCACTGTATGGTGTGCTGCTTACCACGTATAGTAGCCCGACGGAGCGCGATAGCCAACACAAGTCTTGTCTAGCATTACTTCAGAGATTGGTGCGAGCCTTATGAGGACGGAGACAGCGCCAGTGCCGTCCCGTGTGTGGCGCCAGTAAAAGAAGTAATGTGAGCGTTCCCCCGCCACGTCATGTCGCGGATGCCGTGTAGTGCGTTGATTGTGCACCCACGCGTCATCGAATGCCTTCGGGGTTGACCACCCGCCAGAAGACATGAACAAAGTTGGGAGTCTTCCACAACTGCGCGACAAAGCGGTCGTTTGGTGCCTGACCAAGTGACCACCGCACACCTCCCCGCCAGTTTTTTTCACGCTGGCCGACCACCCATCGCAAAGAAAGAGAGAGCACGAAGCTCCGCATCGCGAGCGGTAAATGCAGTGTGGTAAAAACAATTTGTGGTTCTACTTCAAGAATTCCGTGGGTACTTAATGCTTCAAAACGACTTCAAGAACAACGGGCGACGCACCAATACAAAACTAAGCGCGGCATCCAAAACGCATTCAGTTCTCTATACATACTCCGCCGCGTCGGAAAAACATGGCTCAAACATTCGAACCGCGCTCGTATCTCAAGATGGATCTACTCTCGAAATATTCCTCATGTCTCACGATGCATCTATGCAACGCAATCTTTCATCGTTTTGCCAATCGACTTTAAACATTGCAGACTTTTTCCTCAGCATCCAACAAAACACCTGTGGTCCATCCCCTCCGCATGCAACAAAAATACCAAACTTCTTGCTCGGCTTCTTCTCCGGGGTAAGGGTCGAAAAGGAACAGCTTCATGTGTCAAAAGCCCAGGGTAGGGACACCACCCCTGTATCCTCCTGCGGGGCCCCTATAGCCCCCGACACAGCCCCGTGGTACCTGAGCAACTAACGGGCGTTGATTCCTCACGCCCCCCCCCCCCCCCCCCCCCCCCCCCCCCCCCCCCCCCCCC